CACTGCCTGTGTGCCTGCCTGCCCCACGCCCGCCCCACACCCTCACCTGCCCCACGCCCTGCCTGTGTCTCGCCCCACGCCCTGCCCCGGCCAGTAACGCGCCAGGGCCCTTCGGCAACCTTCCGGGGCCACCTCGGACATCTGGAGGGGCTGACAGGCACCTTCCCTCTCCCCCTGCTTCTAGGGCTGAAAGGGGGAGCCCCGACATCTGGCCCGGGGGGGTCCAATGGCCCCACCTTCACGTACACCTTCCGGGGCGACCCCCATGCGATGTTCGCCGAATTCTTCGACGGTCGCAACCCCTTCGACACCTTCTTCGTCCAACGCAACGGGGATGATGAGGACGGTGATGACACCTTCACCACCTTCCATGTGGGAGGTTTCGGTGGCGTTGGCTTCCCCCGCGGTCGGGGGGGGCCAGAAGGCACCTGCCGTAAGCAAGACCCCCCGGTCCTCTACGACCTGAAGGTCTCCCTGGAGGAGATCTACAGTGGTTGCACCAAGAAGATGAAGATCTCCCACAAGCGTCTCAACCCCGACGGGAAGACGGTGCGTAACGAGGACAAGATCCTCACCATCGAGGTGAAGCGGGGTTGGAAGGAGGGCACCAAGATCACCTTCCCCAAAGAGGGCGACCAGACCCCCAACAACATCCCTGCCGACGTTGTCTTCGTCCTCAAAGACAAACCCCACGGCGTCTTCCGCCGGGAGGGCTCGGACATTGTCTACCCGGCAAAGATCAGCCTCCGCGAGGTGGGTGGGCAGTCAAAACGGGTGGGTTGGTCTTGGTGGTGGTGGTGGAGATGTCAAGGGTGGGTTGGTCTTGGTCGTGGCAGCGGCGTCAGGGGTGGGTTGGTCGTGGCAGTGGTAGTGGTGGGGATGTCAAGGCTGGGTTGGTCTTGGTGGGGATGGTGGGGTGGGCTGGTCTTGGTGGTGGCATTGGGAATGCGACAGGCGGTTGGTCTTGGTGGTGGGGACGTGATGGGCCACCTCGGACATCTGTGGGGACGTGATGGGTCTTGGTGGTGGGGACGTGGTGGGTGGTTGTCTGGGTGGTTGGCCTTGGTGGCGAAGATGCAGGGGGTGGTGGGGACATGATGCGTGGTGGGTCTTGGTGTTGGGGACCAAGCGTGGTTGTCTGGGTGGTTGGTCTTGGTAGCGTGGATGTGATGAGTGGTTGGTCTGGGTGGTGGGGACGTGATGGGTGTTGGATCTTGGTGGTGAGGACCAAGGTGGTTGTCTGGGCGGTTGGTCTTGGTGTGGATGCGATGGGTGGTTGGTCTTGGTGAGGTTGTGATGGGTGGTTGTCTGGGCAGTTGGTCTTGGTGGTGGGGACGTGGTGGGCGGTGGAGATGTGATGAGTGGTTCTCTGGGCTGTTGGTCTTGGTGGCATGGCCGTGATGGGCTGTTGGTCTTGGTGAGTTGGACATGATGGGTGGCAGGGACGTGACGGGTCGGTGGTTAGTCTTGGTGGTGGAGATGTGAGAGGTGGTTGGGTGACTGTCTGGGTGGGGGGGATGCAGGGGGTGGTGGGTCTGGGTGGTCAGGATGTGATGGGTGGTAGATCTTGGTGGTGAGAAACAAGGGTGATCGGGTGGTTGGTCTTGGTGGCGTGGATGTGATGGGCTGTTGTTCTTAGTGGTGGTGACCAAGGGTGGTTGGTCTGGGTGGTGGGGACGTGACGGGTGGTTGGATGGTTGGTCTGGGTGGTGGGGACGTGACGGGTGGTTGGATGGTTGGTCTGGGTGGTGGGGACGTGACGGGTGGTTGG